ATTTATTTAGATTCTTTTCACTAGCTTAGTTGTGGTGACACAACAAATTTGCATAAACCCAAACTCTGAAATAAAACTTTAGATTTTATGGTATAAGCATGTTTTATAAATGTCTTTTTTAGAAAAAGACATTTGGAATTTTCATCTATATTTTTAATCTTACATCTTGATTTTCTCCTCAGAGAACCCAAGATTGGTCAGCATCTTCCCCTAGAAATACCTTTGGGAAAAAAAATTGAATTATATCTTAACTAGCTAAAATTAAACCTTTGGAATAGAAAGTGATGTTTAATTATGAATTTGCAAGTTCTTCTGTGCTATACACATTAACACCATTATTCTTTAGATGTTATTTTTACACACTTGCTTTTCTATCAGCTTTTCCAAGTCAGTATGGAAAACCCTGAGTTAGTTCGGCTGTTAAACAATGTTAGAGACAAGTTCTGAGAGTAGCCAGGTGCTAGCAGCCAAGAAACCTTGGTTCTAAATCACTGACCAACTATATCAGCTTGACTGTTATTTGTCCTCTCTGTGTCTATGTTTTACTCCTGTAGATTATATTTACCCTGCCTGTTTTCCTGGGTTATTGGCAGAAACAAGTAAGATAATAGATATAGAAGTACTTGGAAAGATCACAAATGCCTGTAATTGTAAGTCGTTGCTCAATATCACTGCAAAGGCGCTTTGCTTCCATTGAGCCTGAATGTGTTCTTTGCCCTCCTTAGGATGTGAAGTGGGGAGAGAAAAAGTAACACATTCCTCATTCTTGCACACTCATCAGTCTGCCTCCTCAAACTTGCATGGCTCTAATTGTACCTAATGAAAGAAAAGTAACATTTTTAGGTCCCAGTTGCAGGAAACATTTTAAATAGAACTGGCCTGGGGCATTTTTCAAAATAAAATCTATATAATGCAAGATTCTTTGTGGGAATTGTGCCAGGGCTGGATTACACGACTAATAAAGATAAACCTGAGTCGCAGACTGTCAGGCAGCCTTGATCACACCTCTCCCAGATCAGCCATGGTGACAGCAGGACACTTGCCAGGACTTGTCTTTGAGTTCCAGGGACCTTGGTCATCATCACCAACTTCATACTAAAGATTGTTCATGGGTTAACAAGCAATTTGCTAGCTGCCATTCACATGCCAGCAACCAGAGCAAGAATGAATACTTGTAGGGCCCTGGCAAAAGGCTATTTGTGGTTAGGGGTTAGGAGTACTGAAATCCTTTGACCCATCAGCAGTCCCCAGGGTGTTTTCCCTGCCTTTATAGCTACCCCAAGTCAATGTGAGTGCTGCTGGCGTGGCCTACATCATTTAGGTTTTGGAGGGGTTGGGGAATGAACATATAAGAACATCTCTTGTCTTGTGCCTGGAAACCTTGCCTAGAGGTCTGGGCTTTATTACAGAAGGCATTTGTCTAAGAAGCTTTCAGAAGGTATATTGGAACTCTTACTAATTCTTTGACCTTCACGGTTCTGGCCGTTGCCTAGTAGCTAGTACTCATAGTACCTGGAAGTTTCTTTCTGCCTTAGCTGCTTTCTGTTGATTCACTTCTTTTTGTGCCTACATCAGGAACGTTTTTTTTTTTCCTTTTTGTCTTTTTTCGTGTCCGGCAACGGATCGCAACCCTCAGTGTCATGCCCGTACTGGACCGGGACTGGCAACGGGATCGCAACCCTCGGCGCTGCACCCGCACCTCGCTCAGCCAGTGAGTGAGAACCGGTCTGTATGTGGGATCCGAACCCTCGGTGGGAGCGCCGCTGCGCTTCCCAAGCGGCGCACTGTAGCAGTGCGGGGCACTGTAGCAGTGCGCCACTGGGCCGGCCCATCATCAGGAACGTTTTGACCCTTGTAGTCCTACCTGGCTCTCTGGTACTAGACCTCTTGCCCAACTGACCTCTTTCAGACTCGCTCCTCTCAAGTAGCACTCCTAACCCATTGGCCTATTTTAATCCGTTGCTGCCAGTGTGCTGTTTTTATTATATTGGTGATTATTTATGATTATTATATCATATATAAATTATAATTATTATTTATTAACAATATGTAACAATGCTAGCAATTCTAATTATAGCTACAATTTATAGAATGCCTACTATGTGTCAGATGCTGTATTATGTGTTTTACGTATATTATTTAGTACTTAGAATGGTCTGGAGAGGTCAGGTACTATAACCATTCCAACTAAAACTTTAAACCTGTTTTTGCTCATAGTTGTATAATGAAAGGAACTCCTTTCTCCCACCTTCAATGGAGCTACCATACAGAGCTTTTTATCCTAATTTTTCAGGTTAGGAAACTGAGACTCAGAGAAGGTAAATAATTTGTCTGAGGTCACAGAGCTAGTTGAACCCAGTGGTTCTTAGTTCAAAATAGTGCTTTATTAAGAAACCTCTATACTGGATTGGTCCTTTACTTTTGTCTACCCTATTTTTTACCCAGGGCTATTTAGGATAGTGAGATTTTTCCAGGGCATTGGATGTTCTACCTACTTCTCCTATTATTGAGACCTCTGGTCAACAGTTCTCTTTCTGTGGGGATATGACATAAAATTGGGAAGGTATTTAACAAGTAAGTCTCTTTCACCTGTATGGATGAATACTATGGAGCAGACATGATCAAAATCTGTAAAACCAAGAACCATTCAGAACACTTTGGATATCCAGCAGAAGTATTTCTCTTTCTTCTGTGTTAGATACCCTTTAAAAACTGTGAACATTTATCATCCCTCTATCCCCTGCCCTCGCCCCAGTCCTTCTTGTGTCCCAGGTGTAGCCAGTATATCTCATTCTTTGCCAAAATGATGATGCACAAAACTTATTTGATCCTTTCCCTAGTGGTTGTACGAGAATGCCTGCAAATTATCTGAGTCATATTGAATACAGGGAATGTGATGTGACTAGGCATATACCTGAATCTGAAGAAAGTGGGTTTTGTGCCATATGAAGATGATGCAAAAGTGGAACAGAGATGACATATCTCTTGAATACATACCCTTTGATGCCCATCACTTAATCATCTAGCATTTACTGAGCATCTACTATCTGTTCATTTAGATCCCAGGGATAGTGTGATGAACAAAAGCAACAAATTCTCTGCCCTAATTATGTTATGCTTGACAAAGAAGCAAATGTTAAAAATCAGGAAGAAGAGCAAGTGCAAAGGTCTATGGTTCAAATTGGCTTAATGTGTTGAGGGAACAAAGAAGCTACCAGTAAGGCTGTACCGTAATGAGTGAAGAAGAGAGTGAAGAAGAGGTCAGATCATGTATGGCCTTGTAGGAAGCAAGGAGACTTGGAAATTTTTAGCACTGAAGTATTGAAAACATGATCAAGAACAGCTAAATTGATTGAGTGAAAGTTTACCCTTCTTTCCTGAGACTTCTAAAAAATTATTATTACAGTGTCTTTAGCATCATGGCATTTAAAGAGGCTGTCCAGCATCTGACAAGAGTATGAATCTTTTTTTTTTCATTTGATCCACAGTGGCCATACCTCATGTCCTTTGCGTTCTAGGAACCCACAGTGAGGAAGAGAGAAAAGCAATATCACCCGGTCTACATAGTATAATGGGGTTGCATCTGAACATCAGAATTGGAGTGCTTTGACAGCATTCTTCTCAGATGACACAGGTCTGGGCATAGTCAGGGGTGCTTGCCAGTAATTAAACTTCACTAGAAACCTAAGTAGGAACCACGTTGATTAAATTAGTTTGTAAACTGAGTGGGCACAGCCGTCTGCACTCCTCTGTTGTGTATGATGTCTGGGATATTATAAAATTTCAATGAGTGAGTACTAAACAGTATAAATAGTACCAGTCATTTTGAGCCATCTTAAAATTATTGGCTGGCATGCTAATCCCATCTGTTAGGATTGTTATCACTTGGTTGTAAAAAAACACTTGGTTTGAATAGCTGCCCTTGGCACTTTGTATTTTTGGCAGCAGGTACCCCTTGATGTTTAGAAAAGATATGGTCCTGAAATGTACTCCATACTGTAAGATTAAATACTCCCACAAAGATTTACAGTTGACATTCTTCTTAGTCTTGTCAGGCTGCTTCTGATCTCTTTTTCACACTTTTCAATTTTCTTTTCTGTGGTTGATGTGTTCTGGAGTCCAGGTAGGTAGAACAGGAAAAAAACATGGAGAAAATGACTTTTTCCAAAGGAAAAATGAAAATAGAATTTTTATTAATTTATTTATTTAGTAAATCAAATTCATCAAATATTTTATTGAGCTCATATTATGAAAAAAGTACTAACCAAAGTATGAGAAGGCAGAATTTTTATTCTATAAATATTCTTACATAATGAGTTAGCCAATTAGTGTTCAATTTTTAAGGTGGCTTCATGATAAAATTCAATGTTTAATTTTCTTTATAATGCTAGTATTGACGGATAAAACTAATCCCAACTGACCATACACTACTAAAACTTGTTTTTTGTAAGAGGCCAGAATTTTACCCCTGACAGATCTCAGGAAGCACCTTAAAAAGGTATGTAAGTTAACAGGTGACCTCTGTATGTTGATCTGGTTTTCAGTATGTATCCTGTAAAAGAAAATGTTGGTTTACAAACCAATGGTAAAAGTCAACAACCCATGGAATAACTGTTAAAGGACTGGCCACAGGGGCAGAGCAAAAGTGGCTACAGCTCTCGTTATAAAGGAACATTCTCACAAGTTTTGACTATCAGAATTCAATGTAGCAATATTTACTACTGGAAAAGAAGTCTGAGTGTCTTACAGTTTGAGAGACGGGAACAGATCTTCTGCAAAGCTTTCTGTAGCTACCTCACGGCCAGAGATGCTCACATTAGCATTTTGTTTCTTATCTCCCTGTTAGTTGAAGTTGAAAACTGTTCTGTATTGTTTTGATGTTGTTTCTCATTTCTAGGCAAGGTCCTATATGAAAAAGTCAAAACTCTTGAAATATATAGAGTACAAACAAAGTTGTAAACACCCAGTAAAGCCATTTTGTGATTTCTCTGTTTCTGCAGAAATTCCACATATTGCATGAAGGTGTCAATGTCCTTGACTGTTGCAGAGAATGAATCAGGCCTGTGCTACAATAGCAGGATCCGCTATTTAGAAAAATCTGAAGTCACTAAAAGAAAGGAGATCTCCTGCCCAGACATGGATGACTTTAAAAAGTCCAATCAGGAACCTGATGTTGTGTGGTACAAGGTAACTCAGCATGGTGTCAAATATATTTTTTCCCCTTAGTCAATAGTAAGTTTAGGGATAGGGAAAGGGAGAAATTTTATTACTAGTATTTGGTATTAGACATTTCATTGAGAAGAATTAGTAGATCCACAATTAAATAATTCAGAGCTATGACTCTTATATACCACTGGTTTTCATGTATTTCTATCAGCAAGTGTCAAAAGCAGTCTCACCTTTTCCAGCAGCTAAAAATAAATAACATCTCCCTTCACCCCAATTCATAAGAGCAAATGCAAAGAAGGGTAAAGATTTAAACAACATATGAAAGTAATTATTTTGAGGATCTAGAAATATTATTTACTGTTAGGAACAAAGGCCAATTATTAAAAATAGTAGTACTTACAAAGAATAACAACTGTTATCTTGGTCTATACGGTGCGAGCCACTGCACTGAATATAGAGAAGAGAAATGGGCCCATTACAGGATGTGTAAACACTCCTAAGGTTAAGTTTAGCTGGAAATAAGTCACACTCAAATGTTGAACAGAAGAGAGTTGAATGAAGGGATTATTTACAGAGGTGTGGGCAGGGTTGATGGAACCAATAAGGGAGAAGCTTTTAATGATCACCCCTAGGCTGTAGTGGCAAGGGGAAGGAGCAGTGTCACTGGAACCTGGCAAGAACTGTGGCATTAGAGGAACATATGAGGGTGACTGGTAGGGAGGGAGTAGGAAGGATAAATACCACAACTCCTCTTAACTCCTGCCCTCTGGTTTCCTGCTGGTTGCCTCCCTCTCCCCACCCTACCCCACCACTAGTGGAACTCAGACAGAAGCCAGAGGGCAAAGTCAGGAAATAGAGTCAATAGTCAACAGTCTTTGGCTTCCCTGGGCATACAGTAGGGCAGCCCAAGGTAGAGAATGGATCTACAGGAGGAAGCAGAGAATAACCCCATAACCTCCCAGCTATGATATTCTGGCTCCTAGCCTGGGGCTTTGTGGTCCTATAACAGGACTGAGACTGAGCCACAGCAATTGACACACTGTACAGTTATATATGTGATGGCCAGAGGCGACCAAGGAGGTTCTGAGTGCATTGTTGGAACCAAACACACTTAAAAGTAGGAACAGGTTTCTATAGGATATGACAGACCTTCAGCTCTCAGGAAAGCCTAAATTCAAACTTCCACACCTGTTGTGTGCTTTTACATTTGAAAGCCTCTCTGTTTTCATATCTGAGGGAACTCCCAGATAGACACGAAAAGCATGTTATGAGCTAGGACATCCTATGTGGTCTCTATGTGAATTGTCCTCCCCCCCCCCTTTTTTTTGTCTTAAAGAAGACAATATTGTGATAAAAAGGAATCTGATGTTTTTTGTGCATATACATAGATAATTTAAGTGAGACCTTTCATCACTTAAATATAAGGTTGACATCATCAACCTTGTTTATATTTATTAAGTAATTATACTGTGCTAAGCATGTTCTCTAAGTTATCTCATTAAAATCTCAATGCAACTCTGTGTGGTGGGTGTTATTTTCCTCATTTAATTGAAAAAACAAAAACAAAAATATGAGGCTTAGAGGGATGCAACTTGTCCAAAGTTACACAGCTAACAAAGCCTGGTTTTGTACCCAAGGCAGTGTGACTCCAGAGTCCATTTTCTTAATCACTCCCCTTTCCTGCAATGGGCCTGGGGCTAAACCCAGCTTTAAATCATGGGCACTTGTGTAAGATTCAGTGCTAATGCAGAGGACACAGGCAAAAGAGAGAGTAATAAGGTTTTATTTAAATTTCATAGTTGAGGAAGAAAAGTTGACCTGCCCAAGATTTAGCAGCTGGGGCTAAAGTCCAGGTCATCAGCCTCCTCTTGTAGTAATAACTCTATCTCATTTTCTTACCTTTCTGCTAAATTCTTTCCTGCCCTTTCCTCACATCTCTAGACATCACTATCATTATTACATAGCAAAACACTTTATCCCTTGGGAAATGCTACCATCATTCTTTCTTAGAAATGGACCAATAATGGTGAAACAAAAGGCTTTTCCAGCTCTTCCTGGATATAATGTTTAATATTTCTAAAACATTTCACAATTGATAAATAACAATCATAATGATAGCTAACATTTATTGAGTACTTACTATATTCCATGCTGTTTTAAGTGCTTTAGATGGATTAACTCAATCTTTAGAACTACCATATAAATTAGGGATTATTATGCCTATTTTATGGAAGAAGTGACTGAAGACTCAGATAAGTTAAGTGACTTAGCAAAAGTCACACAGCAGTTTGTGACTTGTATGCAGTTTGGCTACTGGCCCCACCCTCTTAGCCACTAAACTAGGCTAATGAATAAGGATAAAAAACAGAGCCAAAAATTAAAGAATCCGTGAAGCTCAGCACAGTGCTGTTGACCCTTGCTTCTCATACATGGTCTCAAGTTAATCCCTGAAGAAAATGTATTGATGTATTGGGAAAGTGTTTCCTTTTACAGTCAATATTTGGATAATCTGTCCTGCTCACTTTGCTGTCTGTGTATTTCCTACCAGGCTGCACAAGAAGTGATTATTGCTACAGCAATGTAAAGAGGAGGATACCTTTATCCAGGGTTCATTCTGGTGCACATCCAAAGTTAGAAATGTTCCATGTCTTATCTCTAGTGTTTTAACAGGGAAAATTATGTTTTGCATGATCCTTATTCTGTTCAAATATAGGTAATCTTTAAACTGGTTTCTTTTCCATCCATCTCTGCCTTTCACTGACTCTCTTATCATATTGTATCACTCTCACTGTCTTAGTCTGTTTACTGTTGCTATAACAGAATAACTGAGACTGGTTATTTTATAAAGAAAAGAGGTTTATTTAGCTCACAATTATGGTGAGGACCTCAGGCTGCTTTCATTCATGGCAAAAAATGAAAGGAGAACTGGCATGTTCATGTCATGAAGAGATCACATGGTGAGAGAGGAAACAAGAAGGCAGAGGAAAGGTGCCAGGCTATTTTTAACAACCAGCCTTTGTGGAAACTAATAGAGTGAGAACTCACTTACACCTGCCCCCCACCAAGGGAAGGCATTAATTTGTTTATGATGGCTCCTCCCCCATGATCCAAACATCTCCCAGTAGGCCCCACCTTCCACCACTGCCACATTGAATATAAAACTTCAACATGAGTTTTGGAGGGGACACACATCCAAACCCTAGCTCTCACCTTCTGTTTTGAGTTTCCTAGGCTGTCTGCAATATGCTATGGTAGGCCTCTGAGGACTATCATTCCATTCCTACATGTAATCCCAGCTAGATAAGAAGGTAGAGGTGGATTAGGTTGCACTGGAGGCATGTTCATAAAGGTGACTGTGTATGCCAACCCTGGCTATCCCTGGAATGCAAGGGATTTGTGTAGCAGGGCTGCATATCCTATATCTGAACTCCATCAATTAACAAGAAGGAGTGAGGAGAGGGGCTACACTTCTGGAAGTTTCTCCTGACACTATATGAATGGAGGTTAGACATTAGAGGAGAATATTCAATAATGTTAGTGTTTATACAAATATTTTAGAAATGAGAGATAAAGATTATTTTCTCTGTTAAACTAACAACACTAGAACCACCTCTTTATCCACTGAGCATACTGTTGTCATGAATGTAGAGTCCCATTATAACTGAAGAGTCTACTAACTTTAATAGGTCATCAACAATGAAAATACAAATACACACTTTAGAGTGAAACACTTATGTATGTGATTAGTTACCTCAGTTGTAATCAAAACCATCTTTGTATTGAGTAAAGAGCAGCACACATATCTGTTTTTAACCATAGACATGTATGTCATTGCAATATATATATATATATATATTTCCACAGTACATAATAGTCAACAGCAAGATTTCATAAATCTTTTCATGTAATAGCACACATAGAAATTAATAATATGGCATAGTGAAGTGAATAGATGACCTGCTCTGAAGATTTTAGGTGCTCCAGACCCCTCCTGACTGATTTACGGCTGAGTAGCAGAAGATCAATATGTATATACACCAGTAACCCTCAAGTAACACCCCAGAGTGCTGTGGCCCACTAGTTTGGAAGCTCTGGTTTACATTTTCTGGTTTACTTTTGTATGTGACATATAATTATTTTTTACCTAAAGATGGCTGAGTAATCCAATCTTGGTTGTCCTTGGAATGCAAGGGGTATATGGGAGGGGCTGTATCTCCTCTTTCTAAGCTCCATCAGTTAGCAAAAGGGGGTGAGGCTACTCATTGGTGGCTGTTTTCTTCTTTTTACATATGAGGAAACAGAAGTAACTTATGGAAGGTCACTTAGCTAACGTGGCCAATTAGGTTCAAACTCTAAACTTCTGACTTTTAATAAATGTTCTTATAACACCACTATGAATGCTTCTCTAAATGCGATTGTTAAACACTTAATACACCTGTATCACTGATGTGAACACAATTCTCAATTAAAATTGTTGCTCTGGAAACAAATCCCAAAATGCTTCCTAAAAACTCCTTAATGACTCTAAGTGTCCAAAGGGACGCAAATGAACCAGAAAGAGATTTTTTTTTTCAGGATCAAAGTAGAGCTAAGTAGAAGGAATTATAATGTCATAGGGACCTTAGAGCCCACCTAGTACAACTCATTTTTCTTACATATGAGGAAACTGAAGCCCAAAGAGATTAAATGACTTGATTAATCTAATGAAACCTATTTCTCTTTTGACATTTGCTGAGTTCTACAAAAAGCTTGAAGACCAGCTAAAAGAGTGAATGTATGTTTATATGTATGTATGTGTATGTATTTGTTTATATATACAGTATATAATGTAGGTCTATATTTAAAAACTGATTATTTTGACAAATCAAGCAGTGTAGAGGTATATAAAATCAGCTGTATTCTCCTCCACTCGATTTTAACCATCTAAGGTAACTCATATTACCTGTTTGTTACATCCTTCTACTCTTTCCTCTGTGCTAACATTCTCATCTTTCTCTTTCTCACTCTCTCTCCCTCTG